TCAGCAATTGAAAGATGTGCCTCTGGTAGGGTTGCCATCTTTTGGGAACCCCAACCCCTAAAAGCATGGTAATCTTTGACTCTGGGAAGGCTATCGTCACTACCTGTTTCCAAATCCCCCTAACTTGTTCCCACACTCCTTCCGCCTCCTTACATTCCAGCAGACAATGCACCAATGTTTCCGGAAGCCCTTCTTGGCACACTTTGCAAAGCTCCGCTTCCTCACTTCTCTGGTTGTGACTTCTTCTTTCATTGAGCCACACATTCACTGGTAGTGCCACGTGCGCTATTAGCCATTGCATACTTCTAACCTGACCCAGTCTAATAGATAGGATGCTGGACCACGGTATATCAGACATTAGGCTCCTGGGGACCCCTACTTTCTTCTCCCAGCGCTTGGTCAGAGAGTGTCCCATGGACCTGGATCTGTTCCTCAGTCTATATCCCGTTTTTGTGGTATATTGGAGAATGTTGATTCTTCATGCTATTCTTGATTGCCCATCTCTAATGTTCCAGGCCCATTCTCCAGGGTCAACCTCTAGATCCTCGATTGGTACTGTTGGGCTGTATACTGTGTACTCATCCATCTCTATCACTCTTACCTTCTGTAATCCTAGTTTGAGAATATACAGTGGTGCGTTGGAAGACTTATCCAGATAGGAAGTGGTACTGCTCGACTGTATTATGTCGTACTTATCAGCTACTAGCCATTCATTCTTATCTTTGTCCGTGTCCCACACCCTGAAGACCTGTTTACGTTCCGGATCATCTTCCCATGTGGCCCAATCTCCCTCTCGCCATTGCTTTCCCTCTCTCAGCAAGAGTACCCAGGTTGGGTGTATGGAGTCTGTGACTATTCTCAGATTGTCATGAAGGTTGTGGCACCCCTTCAATGCTCTCCTCAGCTCCTCTGCTGTTTTCCACCGATTGTTCTCATCATCCCAAATATGTTTGATCTGTCATATTCCGTGTTCCACCCATCTGCCCCATCTCGAATCTTTGCTAGTTAGTGTTAGAGGTTTTCCGTCGTCGTCCCTAATGCTGAAATTGCAGAATATCGGTTGTCTTAATACCTCCTCCCTTGTTGTAGATTCTCTGACCCTTGCTGGGAAGACCTCTTTCCACAGTTGTATTAGTTGTAGCCAATAAGACGGGTTTCTAGCCATCCCCCCTTGTGCAACCCTGTTCTTCTTCCTGTAGCCCACTTTAAGCCCAGTTGCTACACATGATCCAGAACAATCCCGTCATGTTGCTAGGTGTTTTGTACTTGGCTATCTGCCTGATCCTTTCCAATACTAATGATGTCCACGATAACCTGGGTTGTGAGATTAGCTTGACCACCCATTTTGTTTGCAAGGCCTTCAACTGTAGACTTGGGTCTAGGATGCCTAGGCCCCCTTGACCCTTGGCTCTGGTTACTGTTTTCCATGCCACCTTGGTTATGAAATGTTCCGTGTTGTGCTTCGCTGTCCACAAAAAGGCTGCTGCCTTTCTCCTAAGCTGGGTCGACGTGGCCTTGTGAGGAGTCCAAATTGACCCCGCGTACCACATCATGGAAAGGATTGATGCGTTCAAGATCAGTGCTCTTCCGTATATTGAGGTGTAAACTGTCGACCAAGCCCCGAACTTTACTAACATCTTGGCCATTATGTCAGCCGCCATAGACTGGTGAGTCCCCTCTTCTGTTATTTTGATCCCCAGGTATCGGAGCGGTTGTTGTGGTGACATCCATTGAAGTCCCTCCGGGCTAGTGATCGGTATCTGGTCTTCTTGGTCTAGCTCTGCCATCCACCACCCCACTGTTTTGTGCCAATTGATTTTCATTTTTGAAGCCAGCTGGAAGGCTTCCATAGCTCTTGTTAAGGCTTGGAAGGAGGAGTCTGTTGCCCTGATTAAGACTGTCAAATCATCCGCGAACAGTATCGTCGTGGGGATTACCACCTTGTGTCCTTGATGGTCTGGTGGTGCTATTAGTCTTTCTATTGACGGGTCTTTTCTCAGGAAGGAGGTTATTGCCTCCATTATGAAGAGAAAGATAGGAGCAGCTAAGGGGTCCCCTTGCCTAACCGAGCTTGACATCGGGTAGGTCGAGGATAAGTGACCATTTATCTGTACTTGCCCTTGTGTATTGTTGTATAAGACCCTGATCCACTTCCTAAAGTTTGGCCCTACCCCCATCTTTTCCATGCACAACTGCAGAAAAGGCCAGCTGACCTGGTCGTAAGCCTTTTCAAAGTCGAAAAAAAGAATGGCTGCATTGATTCTCTTGTCCCTTATGTACCGGACCGATTCTGTTAGGCACATGACATTGTCCAGGATAAACCTGCCAGGTATGAATCCTGTTTGATCCAGATGGAAGCAACCCGCCGTGATTTTGGATAAGCGATTAGCTAGCGCCTTGGCTACTATTTTGTGAGTGAGAGTCAACAAAGTTATTGGTCTATAATTTCGTATGTCCGTTGAATTCCCTTTTTTATAAAGCAGCGTGACTATTCCTGTTGCGGGATCGCTTCCAATACTCTCTTCCTGCCATGCCTGTTCGAGAAAGGACAGATATTCTTCGCCCAAAATTGGCCAATATTCTAGCCAGAATTCTCTAGTTAGGCCGTCTTTCCCCGGGGTTTTATTAGGGGTCATCGTTTTTAGTGCCTCCCATAACTCCTCCTGTGTTAAGGGTTCGTCCAGCATGGCCGCATGTTTTCGTGAGATTGTGTTCTGAAGATAATTCAGAAACTTTGATCTCGCCTCTTCAACTCTAGGCTTAGAGAACTGGTCTTCCACTGATGTATATAGTTTGCTATAGAAGCCGAACGCCACCCTTAACAACCCTTCCTTGTCGGAAGTAGGCCCCCCTTCCCCTTCTAAGCTCTCTATGAGATTGTTTCTGCCCCTAGTCTTGATTTTTTGGAAGAAGAATTTGGTCATTCTCTCCCCTTCCTCCCATTCTTTAATTCTAGCTCTCATTCTTAAGCCTTTCATTTTCCAGCGTTGCCATTCCACCATCTCACCTCTTGCCATCTCTAATACTCTTTCATATATTTCGTCCCCTGACCGAAGGATAGTATTGCGCTCTGCTATCTCTATTGCTCGCGTCAGTTTTTTCTCTATTTCCTTCCTCTTTGTCGCGAGCCTTCTTGCCAGATTATTGATTTTGTAAAACCCCTTACCCCTGCTGATTTGTTTGTCTGTTGTCAGTCTCAACAGGATAGGTTTGTGGTCCAAACCCACGTCGTACAGTAGGCTACCTATAGTTACTGAATGCAACATGCCCGTAATGCCAGGTGATGTTAAGAAACAGTCTATCCTAGAAGCCGGCACGTGTTGGCTACGGTTCCTCTTACGATAGGTGCACTGTCTCTCCTCCGGGAAAAGTAATCTATAAGGGTCTATCAGTTCTAAATTTGTCATTAGTCCATGAATCGGTAGCGATTCTTCTGTTCAGCCCTCTTCCTTTGATCTAAAGCCCCCTGAAATTATGTCTAGGCTAGGATCTAAGGTGGCGTTCCAGTCACTTGTTAGAATCAGGTGCCTGTTTCCATCCAGGAGTACCTTGAGCCTTTCAATCATGTCTAATCTTTGTTGATAACCGTTAGGACAGTAAACCGACAGTAGCGTGTAGGGTTCCTCATGCAGCTCGAAGTCAATCTTGACCCATCTACCCTCCTCCTCATCCACCCTTGTTTCTGTGATGATAATCTTGTCTGCTGCTTTCGTCCTTTTGTTCTGCAGGATAACCACTCCCGCGGAATGGTTGTTAGCTGCTGGGGCCCACCATGCTGCTTTAACTCTTTGTAGTTTATTCTCTATCTGGTACTTCGCTTTCTGGTGCCCTACAGTTTCTTGTAGGTGTGTTTCCTGCAAACACAAGAAATCCGGTGGAGACAAAGAGAACCACTCTGAGTAATTTACTACATTTTGCCACTTGTCTCCATTCTCTAAAATCCTGACTAGGCCATTCACATTCCATGACGCTATTTTGAACTCCGGAAGACCCGTGCCCCTTTCATTTCTTCTTCTCTGTTTTCTTGGTCTTTCTAACTCTCCCCTCTCCATTGGGTCACCTCATTAGAATGTGGACTTCTTATCTATCTTTCCATTTTCAGGTATCTTGCGCTGAGAGCTCTAAGACTGTTGCTACCTCACTTACCCTCTTCTCAAAGAATTCTGGCTTCCAAGCGAAAGCCTCCATCTTCACAGCGACCGCTGTGCACCTCGCCACTCATTCCGCACCTAGTTGTCCCCCCAGCAACCCGTAGGGGATGGTCTCCACCACCTGCCACGGCATCCAGATCAAACCCTCCCTGAGTACGGAGTCAGCCCCCATTTGAAGTAGCAGCGGTCCAAAATCGGTTGTTGTCTATTCCTCGCTTTCCTCCCCCATCGTCATCGGCTCCTCTTCTCCCTCTCTCAATAAGAAAGCTCGAGCTGACACCTCTCCCCCTATTAAACTCTGAAGGTCTGGGCCTGAGCATTGTTCGACCGGGGCCGTTAGCAGCTGTAAGGATTGGTGGATTGCCACCTCCCAGTCTGAATGTGTTGCATTCCATCTGCAGGGTAAGATCACTCTTCTCCTTGTCCCATTCTTGATTTCCAGACGGGCCGCCGTTTCTATCTCCTTCCACTGACCCTTTGCTATTTTTTGCACACTCACTGTGTCGTCCTCCAACTCTCTGTTCTCATCCTTGAGTAGGTTTACCTACACCACCAAGATCGCAGCTTGCCTTCTCAGGTCCTGTACCTCCTCCTCATCTCTCTCTCTCTTCCCCTGATCCTCCTCCATTGCTGCACCATCCATTGAATCATTCCCATCACTGGCTGTACTACCTTGCTCTTCTGACATTTGTGCTCTTCGCTTCCTGTTGTCCCTCTTCCTTTCCCTGTTGTGGTAGGACTTTGGCCATTGGAATAATCTCCCATACTCCTCCTGCTGTATATGGATTTCATTCCTTATTGTACAACTCTTCCTTGCGTATTGAGATGCATAGAACTCATTGATTTCACCTTCCCTCCTTAGCAGTTCAAACCTGTTTTCTGATGTGATGTCTTCCCCTGCTTGTGTGACTTGCTGGAGGTTCCTCAAGTGCTTGTGGTGGGCCAGTCTGATTTCGCACTCGATCGTCCTGCCCCATTCCAGCTGCTCTACCTCCTTCACCCACTGGTCTCTTGTCCAATCTTCCACATCTGAGTCTTCCTGATCTTCTTCCTCCTCTTCCTCTTCTTCCCCCAATGAGGCTTCACTTTCTTCATCTGCTGAACTCTCCTTCTGGTCCTCTTCTACCTGCAAAATCTGTTGCAATGTCATATTTTCGACATTTTGCATGCCCCTTTTTCTTGCCCTTTCCCTTACTCTTTCTTCGTCCTCCAGTGTAACATGAACCTGGGATCCTTGGGAGCCGCTTTTGTCTTCCTCATACTGAGAGGCTCCGTCTGGGTGGACTTTGTCTGACAAGTCCTCTTCACTGTCTCCTGCTGTGCCTGTCCCTTCTTCACCTGCCCTGCTTCCTTTTGAGGCCACGTCCCGTGAGCATGAGTCTGGGTTACTCTCCTTCCCTGAGGTCCCTGCTGATTCCCCCTCGTCCTGCTCTGTAGTGCCCCCCTTTCCTGATTGGGTCTTTTGTCTCCTTTTTCCCTGCTGTGAATCTCCTTCTTGAGTGTTCGAGCCCATCTCTCCTCTTGCCTCTCCTTTCCTCTTTGTGGAAGTACTTCCTCTCTCAGTCGCCGCCTTCCCTCCTTGCTCGCAGTCCATATTGTCACCCTCACCCTCCTCCATTTCACTCGACCTCTCCTCCTTGTCTCCTATCTGATCCTGTTGCTGTGCTCTGACTTCTGCATTCTCCAAGAATGCCAATTCTGCATTCTTCCCGACCTCATGTAGTTCTCTCATGAGCTTCAATCTCTGCTCCACGTCCTGCATTACTTCTTCCTCCAACATGGGTCTGATAAGGAATCCAGTTTCCTTGTCTTCCATGCGTTTGGCTCCTGTGTGTCTCCACCTACTGTCATAAGGAGGATAGATGTCTGGCTTAACTGTTGGGTCCCCTTTCATCACCCACACCCACTTTGGGTTTTCCAGATTATCATCAAAGCTCCAACCCCTGTACTGTGCTGCATTTATGTACCATACTCCTGGTTTGCTCTCGCACTCCTGCATCATCGATTGCTTCAATGCCACCCTTTTTCCCCCTGTTTCACCTAAGCTCCCCTGTGGGCATGAAGAGCCCAGATGGCCTCTGCCTCTGCATTTGAAGCAGAAAGGATTGGTCTTGGATGAGATGAAGACTGTAACTCTCTAACCACTTTTCTTGAAAATCCACTGGTCCGGGAATTTAGGCGGTGCCCCTGACGTTACTTCCAAGCATGCCACTCTTGCGTCATAGATGCCAGAAAGTCCGGGTTGGCCGGGAGCCATTCGATGATTGGGTTATTGGGATACTCTGCTTTCAGCCTGCATTGAACGAAACTGTGCATCCCCTCCGACAGATTATCGAACTGGACCCAGAAGTGATTTCTCAGCATGGATTGTCTGTGTCTTGAAGCCTCCGCCTGTGGTGGCCTTGGTGGTTTCCAGGGTTGGATTGTAACCACCGACCCCTTGCACTTCAGCGATCCGATTGAAATCAGGTATTGTGCATAGGTTGGATCCACGCAGACAGTCATGACCACGAACCTCCCCCTCCTGTGGTATGATACCTCTGGTCCCTTCCCTGGGACATCTTCCAAGGCTATTAGCCTATCCATCACCCATCTCCTCTTTTCGTTTAGAGATAGCTCCCTGCTTCGTCCTGAGAAGTTGAACAGCACCGCATGTTTCTCGTACAGATTGTTCAGGGACTGGATGTCTTCGTCTAGGTATTCCCAGACATCCACTTCCTCTTCCTTTCCTCCCTCCCCCTTGATTACTTCCTTTGACACTTTGATCTCCGCCTTGATCTGAGTTTTCTCCAGTAGGAATTCCATTGCCTTCTGCCCCAAGGTTCGAGACTTTGCAGATTCCGTCTTTGAGTTCGTACCTGATTGGGATGGCATCTGCCCTGAATGGCTCCTTGACTCGCCCCCTTGTCCTTTCCCAAAATCCCGCTTCTCCTTCTCACTCATTGCCCTTTGGGCTGCCTGGGAATACGAGAACGCCATTGCTGGAAGTGACTTCCTGGGACTAGAATACTACAGATTAACACGCAGCTGTTTTCACTTTTGAAAAAAGATGGAAGATCTAGGTAGTGGATAGATCGGCGTGGAGAACGGTGGGGTCAAGGTAGGGGAGTGTGTTGAAATCGTGCGGAGCTGAAATCCGAAAGGAATGGGACTTCGTACGGCGTTGCTGTTGGGATTAAAGACACCTGGCTTCATGCAAATTTGGCAGCATTTTGCCTCCCCACTTGCGGATCGGCTTTTAGTCGAGTCGAGCGGCCAGACACCGGAGCAATGTAAAGTTCAGATTTCGGTGGGAGGAAACTAATTGCCGGGCCTGACAGAACGTCTTGCGGTCCCGGCTAGATGAGTGACAGACAAATGGATTTGTCGTTTGAGATTAAAAGATCATTGATTTCCGTGAAAATTTGACAGAAATTTGCCTCCCCACTTGGGGATCAGCTTATAGACAAAACTATCGGTCAAGCACTTGGACGAGGAAAAGAGGAGATTAATGCTGAGAGACGAGAGACACCGAGGCGGTCACAACTCATTGCCTTCACGTCAATGCAGGTGAGAGTCCGACGGAGATGGGATTGGGTAGAGATCTAAGTGGGGTAGTAGATTGGATCAGGAGATGCTGTGGGTACAAAGAAGTGTCGGGCGAAGAAGGGTTGCTAAATAGGAGGAATCGGGGTGGAAGAAGAACCCGTGGAGAGATGGGATCGGATCAAAGGTTGAGTTGGGTTGGAATTTGTAGCACACTCGTGATGTACTGGGGATTAAGTGAGAGAATGGGTTGGGGGCAGGGTCGTGATGGGATCGGAACAGAAAGAGCGGCGAGGGGGCGCTAGGGGCGGGGTCAGGGATGAGGATAGAATCTCGACTAGAACGGACCGGAAATGAGGTAGTTGGAGCAAGAACGAGGGCGCGCTTGGAAAAGGAGGGATGTAGAAGAAGTGACGGGGATGGGAGGGGGGGGTAGAACAAGGACTGGTTAGGCGACAGTATGTGATTGTAGTGGGATGGAAGGCTGGAATAGATCGCGTACGGGGTGGGACGAGTAATGGACTGGTGTGGGGAACGGAGTGGGGGCGCCGGGGGGATGAGAGAGGAGGTTAGGTGGGAAGTGGACCGAGGAGAAGTATGTTGGTTTGGTGGTGAGAGGAGTACGGGATTATCTAAAGTCGAGGCTTTTGGACAAAAACACACGGGGTGGAGGGAGGGGATGGGGGGAGGGAGAAGAGAGAATGGGGTATTGGTAAACCGTTGGGGGGGTGTGGAAGGCGGGCGATTTGGACCGGGGAGAAGCGGCTGGCACGGGCAAGGATGGAGAATGGGAGGGAGTCACGGTTGAGGTGGGCCGGGATGGGAATTGGTTAGCGTTCGTGGGGGAGTAGGGACTGGGTGAGAGGAAGAAGTGGGATTTGGTGGGGTGGAATACGTGGTAGGATAGGGTCGAGTTGAAGGGAAGGGGAGGGAGCTGGGGACTGTGTCGGGGTAGAGAATGGGACGCGACGCTGGTTCGGGAATGGCTCGGATTGGGCGGGATCTGAGTGGAACTGGTAGAAGTTGGATTTTGAAAAGGAGTTGGGAGAGGGGCGAGGGAACGAACTGGGCGGGAATCGGGATTGCGATGGGCCTGGTGTGGAGAGAAGCGTGGTTGGGAGAGCGCCGGGATCGGGATGGGAAATGGTCGAAGTTGGGGTGGGGGGGGAGGACGAGTAGTCTAGGAATTAGGTAGTAGATGAAAGTGCGAAAGGAATCGAGGAAAGGAAGGGGTTAATGGCTCTCTCACTTTCAGTACTTTGTCTTCGAGAAAAGGCTCAGACTTGACGAATTCGGAGATTGTCCAGATTGATAGTCTTCACAGGCAATGGCGAGACCGGTATCCTTGTATCCGATTGATCATATGTCTTCTCTCGACAGGTGGTATGGGCGTGCGCCCGGGGCGCGCGCCTTAACCTTCTGCTTTGGCGTACCCAGATTTCGAAAAGAGTGGTCTCCCGCGCTCAGGATCTTGAGAATCCCGCGTCCTAGAAAAGAGAATCAAGTCGCGGAAAGGCGTTCTCCTTTAAGATAAGCGCGCGCCCGAGGCGCTCGCTCGCGATGAAGGCGAGAACGGATTATGGCTAAGAGGCGAACAGTGTGCTGCACTCCCGATGAAGTTAGGCGCGCGCCTGAGGCGCGCGCTCGCGAAGTCTGGCGAGAACGGGCTATGGCGAACTAGTGAGCGCTGTGCGCTACCCGAGCGGCCAGCATCAGTCAGGTTCCTATTCCCCCGGCACATCAAAATAGCAGACTAGCAGTATTACATCATATACCCACTCACGCATCCTTCCGTCAGGCCAAAGGACCCCTGGTTAGCATTGATTAATCCACTTGGTGGAGGATTGACTGCCAGCTTGCCTTTCCTGTGGTTCCTCTCAGAGTCTTCATCAGAGACCCTGTCAGATAAACTTAAACGCAAGAAACACAGAGAGAAGAGCTGCTGTAACTCTTGAGTGCCGTGACCCAGTTCCGTGCTCTCTGAAGAGGACAGGAGTTGTGCCAGTCTTTCCACCTGAGGTGAAGTCCTTGAATGAACGCCACCTTTCCATTGACCAGCCATACTTTTGCGAATTTTGCCAGAATCTCTTGCTGCTTCTCCTGATTCTCCTGAACTTGAATCCTGACTTTCTTCCATTGGGAGAAGACTTCAGTCTCCATTAAAGATTTGGTCGTTGTCCATAACTTCTCATACGGATTGCTGGCATTGTCCAATGTCTTGCTGCATCTTTCCTTCCATATGACCCGGAGTGTCACCTTTCGAATCATGCCAAACCAGACGCGCTCCGACTTGTTAAAGTTAGTCGGAACGTTGGTCCATAGGAGTAGTTGGATTGGGTGTTCGGGGAAGGAAGAAGAAAACAGGTAGTTCCAGAGAGCCGATGCTCTGGCCCAGTAGTCAGTAGCTGTCTAGCATGTGAATTTTGGCAGTGTGTAATGTTTTCTGTTCATTGTCTGAGCACACTAGACAGAGATCTGAGCTGTTCGGGTCATTTTTTTGCCTTCTGATATGTAGCCAGCTGTTCACAGGTAGTTCAGTGTAGGCAATGAGCCACTGAAGGCTTCTTATTTTGACCGGGTGTATTGATTTATATATCTGCCAAGGACGTTGGATATTTGTTCTGCTTCCTGGCCCAGTATTCTGTTCTGCCTAACTTTGATCACCAGATCTGGATCTTTTTTTTTTTTTTTTTTGGAAAACATGAACATTTATTACCAAATATCAATGGGACGAGGCCGGGGACCTCACAATTCTACCCGGAGGGTCTTTCGTATTTAGCAGCATTCTGTAGCCCATTTTGACTGTGTACTGTGTACTGTGTACTGTGTGATCTGAGTGGGAGTTTTGTAAAGTCTGTTGTTACCGGAAGACCATGCCCACTCATGTGGGTCAAACTCTAATTCTTGGATTGCTGTTTCAATTTGGAAGATTAACTTTTTTGGTCACCCGCCTAATACTCTTATTTTACGAAGAGTGAATGAGCTCAGGATTGAATGTTGTGGGTCTGTGTTGTAGATGGAGGGAGATTTGGGATTGGTCAGGTCTTTCGGGCATGAGGTGAATACCCCCGAAAGGTCTGAGCCCGGAGATCTGTGGGAGAATCGATATGCCCTTGCAGGCGTCGCATCCTGTGTCAGTATGCCCCACTCGCCTGGTTTCCAAGAGAAGTCCTCTTTGAGTAAGTCCTTCCATCGATCTGGGATACTATTAATCACTGTTTGCAGGTTTTCATCTCAGCGGTGGCAACCCTTTAGGAGTGATTTTTCGTTTCCTCGTTGATCCGGTCCAGTTTGTCATCATCCCATATGTGACTGACCCTCATACTCCGTGCTTGATCCATGAGAGCCATCACTGGCCGCTTGAAAGAGAGAGTGAGTGATTGCCTGTGTCTCTCACACATGGGTTCCCAAACAGGGGTTGGCGCAGGAGTGCTTCCTTAGATTTGGGCTTCTTGTTCTCTTTGGGAATAATTTCCCTCCATATGTGAATAAGAGCAGTCCAGTAACGAGTGGGGGGCCATGACTCGTTCAGTGATGTGTTTGCTAGTTGTCTCCTGCGGCCAGTCTTTGGGGTCCATTCCTTGTTCATTACCCAGAAGAGGCCTGACATGTTGATTGGACTGTGGATAGGAGCTATGGCTCTTATGCTGCCCAGTGCTGGTTTGTGCCATGCCAGTCTGGGTTGGGTTAGCAGTTTAATGATCCACTTGATCTGAAGAGCTTCAGTTTCCTGCTTCGGGTCAACGATTCCTAGACCCTCCTTTGATGGCCTTCTTGTTAAAAGGGCCGCCCGCCTTCAGATATGATCTTCAAACTGATCGGCCCCAGATAAATGCAGTGTTATCTTACTTATCTGAGTCCATCTGGATTCAAACTGAGGTCGGTATTTCAACAGTTCATGGGTGTACCAACTGAGCTAGACACTTCTTTGTCAAGAGGAGACATAACTTTTGGGCTGCATAGCTCACAGTAAGATGGTAGATAAATAAGCATTGATTAATAATTATACATGGACTTGGGACGTACGCACACTACCACAATCTTAAATGCACCTGAACGCATTTACGGCCAGACTTGTATGCATCTGGCCGCAATTCCGGGCAGAAATAAGGAAACAAGTGCTAGTGTTGAGTATGCCCTTAAGACTTGCACTACCGCAGATGGATAATGCACCTTATCATGAGTGAAAACGCCATGCAAAATACTCAGTGCTTAGTCAGTGGCAAGAAATAATCATTGCACTTTCTGAAGCCGTTAGAAGAAGAAGAAGCAAGAGTGGAAGCAGAGAGCCAGTTCTCTGCCCAGACAAACAAATAGGGCATGTTGAAGGTTTCCATTTAATTCACATATGCCACAGTAATTGCAAACGTTTCTGGCAGACTTCCAAAAAAAGTGATTGCAAGCCAATATTTGGAGAGATATAGGGCCTCACTCCACCACTCACCACATGCACAAAAGACAAAACAATTGGCAGAGTATTTTCCCATGTTCTAGCCGAAGATTCATTCTCATTTTTGACATTTGACGAGTAGTGGAGGGAGGCGCATAACGGGCGATGGAATTCCTGCATAGCACGGGGAGCGGCAGACAGGGGTGCACTTCATGGTCATATCTTGGTATCCAACTTGCTGATAGCAAGTTGCTGTCGGGAAAGGACCTGTGCAGATGACTGAGATGAAGTGGAGTTTTACCTTCATTAACCTTATGGCGAGACCTGTTCTGTGTCATCTGCACAGGTCCTTTCCCTTCATTAACCTTATGGCGAGACCTGTTCTGTGTCATCCTGCATGAGCGGCGGCCATAGCCACACTGCACATGCAGGATGCCGGTGGAGATAGTGGTCGTCCTTGGCGGAGGTGTAGAGCCTGTGGAAGGACAAGACAGGGGATGGGTGAGAGGGAGAGAGAGACACGTACCTGGTGTTGAGTGGAGGTCTGCTGCCATCTGCATGGGCGACGTCTTCATGTACATCAGGTTGCGGCTGAAGTGTTCCTGGTTTTGTCACGTAGATTGATAGGCTACCTAGTACAGGTGCTGTCCGATTGTAGTCTGGGCGTTGAGCGCCATAATGGAAGGGCAAAATTGTTCGGCACGCAACTATCTGGCTTTCAATGTGATGATGCAAGTTGGTTTTCGGTTATTCACTCTCGCTCATTTTCCTAGCGCAAGGGGATTTTGATGTGTAGATGTAAGTCCTTGCCTTCGCAATGTCGTCCATGATAACCATTTTGAAGTTCTTTTTGTCTTAAAAAAAGAACGATGGCTTGGAGATATCATCGCGGAGCTGACTAGCCCCAGGTAATTCAGAAACTCGTTCAGCTAGTTCCATCTGGATTCGAGCTCACGTCTGTATTTCAACAGTTCAGGGAGGTGTACCAACTGAGCTAGGCCCGTTCGTACCATTTCCTTTTTTTAATTCCCAGAAAGCACCTGTGATCCTGACTCATCTCTCGAGGACTCCTTCAGAGAATCAGACGTGAGAATTTCATTGCGAGTTTTCTGGGAAAATGCCATGCACGTCTGGGAAAATGCCGTCTGGCCACGTGTTCTCTGGGGTAATGTCAAGCTGTTTTCCTTATTAAAATTAATAAAATACTTCATCCCCACACGATATAGTACGTGGGATATCCCCTTACCTGCCAACCTTTTCTCATCAGCTGAATAACTCCTGAAATGTCGGTTAATAATGACGCAAAGAAGCATTTGCAAGAATATGATCGAGGGTAACCATTTTTGCTACATCCTGATTTGCTCTAAGCCATAACTCCTCATTCAGATGAGTCACCATTTTCAACCCCGCAGGACGAGGGTGATGACGACACCACCAATGAAAGAGAAGAACTTCAAGAACACCATGGGGGGACCACAGCTATGGACTACTGGGTGGATGAGGCTATAGGTTGAGACATTCGAGGCCGAGGAGTCTTGAAGGACAGATGTTGGTGGAGGTCATGCAGATTGTCTTGGAAAAAAATGTTGCAGAAAATTATGACAAGGGGCAAAATATTAACATAAGTGGTTGGGTCTTCTCGATGGTGTGCTATGCACTGTCTAAGCGTAATTCTGGACGGCGGATGCACATTGGCATGTTTTCTGCGAAAAGAAAAACAAAGGGCACAATAAGCGGTTGCCACTGGTTGGGTCTTCTGATGGTATGCTATATGCACTGTCTAGGGGTAGTTCTGGACGGCGGATGGACATTGACATGTTTTCTCCAAGAAGAAAACGAAAGAAAACGAAAAGGGGGTTGAGCGGCTCGGCTGCATGAGCTGTCAGATTTTGAAATTGCACGATAGCCAACCCTGTTAGAGTGTACATGTACGTATCCATATCCCAGCCTAGATCACACACCTGTCCCGCTGGTCATTGAGGCTCACACAGCCATGGTCTGCATGGTCTGCCCAGGGAGGTTCTTGTTGGTATATGAATTTTTGAGGATGCTCTTTCAATTGCAACAATGATGGGAAATGGATGCTATTGAAAACACCTAGTGTTACGCTCGACACGATTCCTCTCCTTGATTACCATAGCAGGACTTACTCAAGTTGTATTAGCTGATTCTGGAGCCATATGCGTGATCGCCGGAGGAATTGTATGAGGTGGGCACATGAAACATAGTAAATACTCAAGCATTGAACTGTTGAAAATTTCTTCTTTCTAGTTGGCAAGTTAACAGTTCAAAATTCAAATCTGCTTAGTACAACCATGAAGTCAGGAGCTCTGGTCCTTCTTTCCTTCACATTACAGTGGACACTAACTTCTCCGTTAAAAGAGTGGAGAGCTCTAGGTCAAGTCTGGCAGAACTTACTTGGTCCCATGCTTTCCGTGGAGGTCCAATCCCAAATGACGGGCTGAAAGATGAGGCAACAATTCCGACAATCGGTGACTTTTCTGTATAGGAATGACGCCGGAATGCTTGTTTATTTGGTGGTTCGATGCAGATCGCTGGGAGCGCACCAAAGGGCGCCACTATCGTGCTGTTGATCAATGTGTAACCTCTCTCTGGAAGCTTCTGTACTTTGTTCAGCAGAATTCCTCGCTTTGATTCTGCAACCACAGTGTTATGCACTTCTATGCTGTGTTTTGACTTCTGATTCAGGATGCCGTAGTCCCAGCTCTGTCAGAGTGAAAATTTCAGAAGGACAAAAGCCAAGGAATTTCCAGACACATACCATACTGTCAGTACCTCTGCATGCAGAGCCTCCACCATGGGATCTCTTTTTTCAGGCCTGTTTCTCCCCCTACCTTCTTCCCCCGAATACAACATACGGTCATTATACCTGTATTTGAGGTATCTTTCAGTCTAAATACAGCTATAATGACCGTGCGTTGTATTTGGGGGAAGAAGGCAGGTGTCTCCTCCTCAAGTAAGGGAAGGACTTCTGTTCCATTGTCCCCTTACGATGATGAACTTCAACTTTTTGTTATTAAAGGGAAAGCCCCTAACATTTTTTGTGTCCATCTGATTGCAGGATTTGAACTCATGACCTGTTTGCTCACAGTTACATGCATGCACCATTCAGTCACCTGGGCTGGGTCTTACGATGAACTTCATGACAGCTGCAGACAGAAAGGGAACCCTCTTGGGAATACCGTGAACCTCAAGGGGAGGTTTGCGCGTATAAATGGAATCATTTCATGTCAAAGGGATCCACATGTGTTTCCGAATTCTTTCAGGAAACCGGTATCGGATGAAAGAAGGATACATGCCCTTATTAGGGACATCCGTAAAAACTGGAATGATACAGAGAAGACTAGCATGGCCTCTGCGCAAGGACGACATGCATAAATCAATAAACGGTCCAAATTGAAAAAAATAAATAAAAAAAGGGCCAGCGCCCTAGCTCAGTTGGTAGAGCGCATACGTGGCATCCAGGAGGACGTGGGTTCGGTTCCCCATGTCATCAGCTCAACTCGTGGCCCCCTGCGGTGCACTTTGGGTTCACCGGCTGATATAGTTCGCTTCCCCTCCCTGGCTGGTCTTGGCAGGAGTCGGGAATCCAGCCAGCCCTCACTACCGGTAGGGGTTAGGAGCCTAATATGTATATATAATATATTGTCAAATAATATATACATATATATATCGTCACAAACAGAAAGCCTGGTAAACCGTAGGCAGAGAGAGAGAAGAGGACAACAAACGAGGGGCTGTGACAAACTGTTTCGTCGGAGTTTCACCGACTCATCAGGAGGCTGAACCCT